TCAATATTAAACTTTCATTAGCATTTATTTGGTACATATCGAACAACAGTCTCATTATTACAATAATATCATAACTCATTCAACCACAGGCTATCTAATTCTTGACAGCAACCATTTATAATTTTTACATATTTTTTTATTTGTTTTTTGCCTTTTCTGCCTATTCGCCATAACGATTCCAATGTCAAAGTTTCCAGGATTGTATATTATTATCCTTTTTTTATAACTTTCAATCCTTTTTGATATATGGAGAAGGTTCAACTAGAAAAAGGTGATTTATTTATTTATATCAATAAAAATATCATGCCTTGAAAGTTCCGAAAATTTACCTATTACTGGCCCAAAACCTATTTCAGGAAGACTAAGTTTTTTAGTAGGTGTTGGAACTTTAGCTGCGACTAACACCTCAGACCCTTTATATGGATCAAACGCCTTGGAGAGGACCAGTTTTTCCGGGAGGAATTCCATCACCTGTCCGTTGAATTGAAACAACGCTTCTTCGGGATAGCGTTCTTTGCTGGGCTGTAAGAACAAATATTATAACATAAATGAATTCTATTTAATGACAAGAAGGACATTTACCACAATCTGGTCTAATTCGATTGGAAGTGTTTTAAACCCGTACGCAATCTCTCCCTCGATTTTGATTTTTTCTTCTTGCCTTGCTTTGTAGGCCAGTTGTTGAGAAACTGCGTCTGCAGGGATAAAATTACCATCAGGATAAGCAACAGGACAATAGGAATAATCTGTTAAACTACTAAAATCCCCTGGGTTAGCTTGCGCTTTGGAAGCGCATGAGCGACAAGGGGTTAGACTCCCAGCGCACGAAGAACATCTTGGTAATCCTGACTGAAGCTGAGATGAAGTTTGAAGAGGATTTGAAGGTAGTGCCGAGGCTTGGGCTTTCGCTGCGCAACTGCTACAAGGTGCTGCAGCACCAGAACACGATGAGCATCTTGGTAACGATTGCAAGGAAAGTTGAGGAAGTACTGAAGATATTTGTTGAGGTGGCTGAACATTTTGGGCTTTCGCCGCACAAGAGGGACAAGGAGCAGGTTGAGAAGAACAGGAGGTACATCTTGGGAGTTGTTCACCGACAGATGGTAGTGGATATGGGGGCGGAACAGGAGATGGTATTTGAGTTTGGACTGGAGGAAGTTGGAAAGACGGAAGAGGAGCCTGAACGGGAAAATTTTCAGGAGGTGGTAGTGGAAGTACTGGGGGAGGTGGAAGGGGTTGTGGAATAGGAGTAGGTGGCAAGGGAAGCAGTTGTGGATATTCTGGCGGGGGAGCTTGGGGAAAATATTCTGGTGGAAACATAGGAAGCATTGGGGGTGGAGGCAGGACTAAAATAAGTTGTGGCGGACATGCCGGATTCTGTGACGGATCGCAGTTGACAGGTGGTGGGTACAATGGTACAGGAAGTGCAGAATTAACATCTACTGGAAAATCCGGAAAACTGAACGGTTTGACCTCCTCTTTTTTTGCCTGTGTAACGAGAAATATAGAAAGGTTTTGTCATTGTTTGTAAATTTCAAATAAACAACTCACAAACGCAGATTTGGCACATTGAGCAGGTTTTACAATGATTTCCTTTTTATGACACAAATCACCCACTGGTTCTAGCAATGGGGCCACTTTGAGTTTATCTTCGTCGCTCTTACAATTGTCTTTAGGTTGTATGATTACCACACCATCACCTCCACAGACATCTTTGCCCTTTCCCAAAATATTTGCTAGCACCTAAAAAACAAAGTTGTTAAAGATTTATGAATCAGCTTCGCTCTAAAATACCAACTTCTGCTTTAAAATGAATGACAAATACTAAAATGGAGACGTGATAATTTAACAAATTCATTTCATCGTTTTGGTACGGTGTTTGAACGCCCTGTCTACGAACTAAATAACAAAACATCAATCTTATACTTTCATTTATAACATTTCCTTTAATTATGTCAAGGACTACGTAATGTCCAAATGAAATTTTCCAAAAAGTTCGTGATTTTTTATCGTTTTTCAACTGTTAAAAGAAACCCGATTTCGCTTATATTTGTAAACACTCCATGGTTGCTTCGTGCTCTGGTTTAATAATAAAATACGACAAACAACGTAGAAATTGTTGAACTTTAGTAATGATTCAATAACAATAAATTAAATTAACAACAAATTTGAGGCGCTACCTTAGAAGCACGAGTTGGTTTTGCAGTCTTGAATAAAAATACATGGACCTACTTATGGAACTCATAACAGAGATTTAAAGATCTGGTTTAGGATTTAATAGCCAACAAAAACATATGGATAAATGATTTTGACTCAGATATAATACCTTTTCAAAATTCTATTAGAAGAAGATTAAAATGAGTATAAAAAAGTAATAATACTAGTTTGAATAAAGAGATACTGTCGATTTTCCAAAAATAATTTACCGAAAGGGAAAAAGAAATCCCGATCAACCCCGAATTTCAAGTATTATCATTACGTAAATTCAATTGTTTTATTTTGAACAATAATGTTCAACTCATCATGTCTTATCAATTTTTAATAAATATATTTTTAAAGTGATATTTGCTTTTATTATTTATTACTTAATAAATATAACAGTAACATAAGGCATCATTGTAAGTTGTAACTCATGAATTTCTAGATTTCTGACCCTCGCCTAGAAGTCCCTAGACCATTCACTACAAATAATTTAACAATTAATTACTTTGAAAATTCTATGGCTTAACAGTATGACCTAATACTTGAGATGGTTTGAGATCTGCTCTGTTTATTATTAACAAATACATAATTTATCTAACTTAAAATTTAAATTTAACGAATTTCAGTAAATAAAATAAAGGAATACTTTTAATTTATTTTATTCAAACAAAAAAAAGACAAGCATCAGGATGGAAACTGTGCAGGTGTACATATGTACATGTATAAAAAAAAGTACAGGAAATATAGCAAACATAAGTCTTAAAAACTCGCCATAAGTATTTTTTCCAGTTACTCCTTAAGGGGATTTAAAGGAAAGCTGCCTTTCGTTTCCTTAGTAATCGTTAAGATTGAACTACACCGCATATGAATTCAACTTTTTATTGAAATATTTAAAAAAATAATATTAATACCTAATAGTCAAAATATCACAAAACACATTTTCCTTTCCTGACTTAAAACAAAAAATTATTTTTCTATTTATTAACATGAGTATGTTCAACTGGTTTGGCCTTATCGTCGACCACGGTAACATTTTGTGGGTAAGTTGGCTGCATTGCGAACATTGGATGCATAACAAGCATTTGATTCGGCGGCATCGACAACATGAATGGTGATGATGTGGGGATGTTGGTGGCGTTGTTGTTATTGGAACTTGCCAATTGATTAGCCATTTGGTTCAAATACATCATGTGCATCACATGATTGGGATACATCATAGGTGCAACAGATAAAGGTTGTACTGCTAGAGCGGCATCCTCGGCATGGAGTTGACTTTCAGTAGGTTTTTCTGGATCCATTTGGTTCGACATGTAATCCGCACGCTGGGTGGCAACATCCTTGGGTAATTTTGGATTTGGAAATGCGAACGCAATCTGCAACGATCACAAAACAACGTTCTATTCAATTTCATTTAGTTTTATTAAAAAATACGACGGATCCGGTAGTTTTTTAGGATCCGGACGGGTGCCGGATGATAACATTGAAAAAAAAACCAACAGTAGCAATTAAGTATAACGAAAAGCCTGCCGGATCAAAATTGGTAATTAAGATTGTATTGGGATAGGTCGTTTGTCCTAATTTATATTACTGTACTAAATTGTTTGTTATTTCGATATAGTTCTTGTGTTTGTTTTTTCTTGTGAATAAGAATACATCAGTATGGACGAACTGTTACAGTTTAATTAACAATAACTTATTAGTATGATTTTGTCGCCTTGCAAACTTTTAGTGTTTTTATAAACATTAAAGGTTCGTTTCAACGGTTTCGACCGAACCGTCTCGTTGAAAATCCGTCAACCAGGAATTGGTTAATTGTTTAAACGACTTTTTGAACGATATTTAATGTTGTTTGAGATGTTACAAAACAAAACAAAGACATTAGCCATTAACCGGAGTGATTTTGTCGATTACGCGGTCCAACTAATGCTGGGTACACAGTTATCCAATACCAGACAAAATCGCTATCCGGCGCATCTCCGGTATCTACGTTTGAGTTATTATTATAACAATGCAGATGATAGTAGAACGAATGATATCAACATAAACATATCAATTTTACTCACAATTTGTAATAGTGCCATGGTTCAGAGTGGAAAATTATAAATATCTTTATGAAAATGTGGGACCTATTTCAAATACCTATGCATCTGTAATAATCTAGTCTATAATTTAACAATTAATATTTTAATTATTTAAAAATTAAGCTGCACAAGAAAGATCTAATACAGGCAAACCCATGGACGGACATATAAGTAATTCCAAATAGATATTGAAAGATCAACCTGGACGTATTTTAAGTAAAAAAATTAAATTTAGTATCTTAGACATTAATACCATTTACTTATGAGAATCTGGTCTTAAGTTTTAATGAAGAAAATGACAATATTACTAAATAAGACTTACCGACAAAATGCAAAAGATGATGCTGATTTTGGCCATCGTTTTTGCCTCTTCTCTATTACGCCTACTCAGTATGTATGAAGTAGTATTTCGAATATATGCAAATTAAAAGCGGTATTTATATAGCCCCGATTGATTAAAACTTCGTGACAACTTTAAAGGTCATTTGAAAATGTACATTTTGAAAATTACAAACAGGAATTTCCCAGAAATTTTCAAACGTGTACGTCTGATTATTAGCTAAACTATAATTATTTAAAAAGCCCGTTGAACCTGACTATTATGATAACAATTTAAATTAGAAGAAATTCAATTAAAAGCATTTCAAAACAATTCAAATTCAAATAAGAAATTGAGTAAAATGAACAGAAAATCTTATGTTTTGGGAAACGAAAAACGTACATAGATTTTCTGATAATTATAACCGAAACAAATAAAAATAATTTGACAAAACAATATAAGTATCTATCTACAAATATTTAAAACAATTTTATTCTTATCATTTTTGTTATATAATTATACACTAATACAAGGAGTATCTCTTAATTTTGATTTGAATTTAATTTCCGTGAATCAAAATCAATTTTATTTCGTCCAGTCACGTCCAAGAAAAGATTTCTTCTTCCTTGTATGATTGGGATACCCCCCTCTTATTTTTCTTTAATTTTTTTTTTGTGTAGTAATATGTAAGCTATTAATTTTACTCTTTAATAATGAAGAAATTGGAGCAGCTTTACAATTTGTTTACTAAATCCTTATTTTAAAGTTATTCTGTTAGCTATATATCGCCATCTAAACAAATGTTTGGCAACATATTGATATTGCTTATGGCGTGCTGATGAGAAGTTACTGACCAAATGATTTTGATCAAATTTGGACACCCTGTATAAATCCCCTTTTCAAATTAGGTTGCATTTATAAATATAAAATGTTATTTCATTCAATATGGTCGTTAGTTGTTGTTTTTAATGAATGAATTTTTCAGTTATGCACAATTTTCCTTACTTCCACATCCAATTTTAATATTTTTATGTACATCACGTTGGTGTGGTCGTTATTAAAATGTAGTACACGTATACAGGGGTCGTTGGCAAAAGAACGTAAACAAAAATAAACAGAAACGTTTAATTTTTGTCGCAGCGAATAAAACAAAAACATACCGTATCGGAATATAAAAAAATAAGTTGTGCATAATCGCTTAATCGCAAGTTTACAAACTGGCAAAACTACCAATGATACAATGGTCAGTGCATCTTTGATATGCCTTAACATTTTCTTGTTACTTATGGTAAGAAACAATTTGCATTTTTTAATTAAATCATTTTTATACGAACTCGACTTCGTTGTAGGTCCTAGTTGACCATAGTCTAACGTGCAAGTCTTTGAAGAAAAAACTTCTCATAAAAGATCTCGGAATTCTAGAAATGTTGGAAGATGAAGTCAAATTACAAATAGAAAAGCTAAATCTAAAGACAGCTAAGGTCAAAGATGTTGATCCACCACCTTCTTGCAACCTGCCTCCAATACAAATAGTGTATCCTCCACCTTCTTATTATGCTCCTCCACCTCCCCCACCATCTGCTCAACCACCCCCTCCACCGTCCTATTGCCCCCTTCCGCCACCAGCAACGTGTTCTCCTCCTCCCATTTACTCTCCTCCTCTATTACCTACTTGTCCCGCTTTTCCTCCAATATATTCTTCGTACTATTGATGTAGAGGTAATTTAGAATGACATGAACCTTAAAATTGGATTACGCAGAGACAAAACTCTACCCCTTTTAAAATGTTAGCCGTCAGTTCTTACAGTTCTGGATTTCCACCTCTGGTTAGATAGAGAAACACACGGTGAGAATCAATAGAACATGGGAGCTAATGTTTTCCATACGTACAATATATGATGGCCCATTTCATTCTGAACTACCTATAACTATTAACAATTTTTTATATTAAAATTAATTTTGTTAGCCATTTTACTCGTTTAACTTAATTTTTTATGTATTTTTTGAAATAAATTATGTTTCTCGTTGCAAATTCGTTTTTATTCGGAAGAAACCTTTGTAGATATTTATTAAAAAAGCAATCGCACTTTCGCTGCATCAAGTACAAACGGTTTGATACTTAGATATTAACTGCAATCGTATATAAAGTTATAATTTCCAAAAGCATGTTCAGTTTCAGAGCAAAAAATGGATTTAACAAAAGAAGTTGAATTGTGGCGTCAACTTGCAAATAATTTACTTACTATCATCGGTTTAAACAAGTTGAAAGGAAAAGAAGGATTTAAACTATTTTTCTATTTTATCTATCAAGTTTACACTATCGTATATATGTATCTAATTGTAGTTGCAGAGATATTTTACACTTTTAGNTGTATCTAATTGTAGTTGCAGAGATATTTTACACTTTTAGAGGCAAAAATAGTGTAGAGTCCATGGCTTCTGATATATCTCAGCTCTGTAAGTCTAGAAATGAAATTAGAACAATAACAGAAGAAGCAAATGATTTTTATTACAGTCGGAAGTATGGGTCTTGTCTATACACAATGTATAATTTTAATTAAACGTAATCAAATAGAGAATTTAATGGAAAAGATAAAAGAAAATTGCACTCGAAAGAGAGACTCTAATACAGCTAAACTTTTGTACAAAATTCGATGTGGTATTAAAATCTTTTTGGGATTTCAAATTTGTTTTGTATCTGCATATTCTTGGAAAAATATGCCTTTCTTCAAATGGTAATAAAACACGTTACTTCGTCTTGATATGCTTATATGATTAAGTATCTTTTCTTTCTCATGATAAGGATTCTTTTACTTCTTGTTCTTTAAGGGTGTTATCGTTTTATTCAGTCGGAGTTTCCAATGTTATGGTGTTTGTTGTATATTTGTCATCGGTCGTGTTACCATTTGCTGTCATGTACTCTTCCATGTTTCTAATTTTTACATTTACTTTTGCCGCTTCAGAACTCGAAGAATTATGTAAGTATAAAATTGTCCCTGTTAGGCTAAAAATTGCTCCCTTTTGTTACTCACAAATTTTGTTTTCAACCAAGTTTTAAATGATTACCTTTTAAAAATAACTACAAAAATTCTTTACAGTGGAGTAAAAATAGTGAAAAATGCTGGTATTAAAATTGAACAGGTTCCAATAACGGAATATAATATAAATATTCAGGCTAACTAATCATCATTAATAAATAATCATTTGGCACTTAGTTTAAAAGAAAATTTTAGGGCGATTTTTTCAGTTACTCCTTTGTTTGACCGTTTGACCATCACAGTTAATCTTTTCAAACGAAAACAAAACACATGAATATCGTGATAGACGCGAACATAATGGAGTTCGGAAGCCATTTTGATTAATTTTGACGTAAATAGGTAATCAAAAATATACATATATACCTAATATAATCAAAACGGTATTAATTGGAGGCACTTATCGAAATATGTATGTCTGTAATATTGTTTACATAGTTAGAAAACTGCGTAGTACAGGAAAAATTGTTCAAATGACTTTATCCATTTTGTAATATAAATAATAAAGTCTAATCGTCGGAGAACAAACAAAATAACTTTTACTAAATTTCATATCCACAACGTGCATCATCTTGTCTTGAAAGAAAGTACTAACATGTGGTGTGACGAACATGAAAATCATACTGAAGAGGTACCATTTTTGCCTTTTCATGGAACTTTAGATCAGATCAGTGTTAAGGGTTCTGACATCAAAAGATAAACAATGAATTATATTCTTACAATATCTCTTTCTTCAAGAATACTCTTGTAGTTTCTTTTAGCCAAAAATTTTAACAATTGCGTTTTTGAAACACTAACGGAACATGGAGTTCCTAAACTAAAAGTAATGAAATTTGCAAAAACATTCATAAATCATTACGATCTAATCGATGGTATCAGGTAATTGTTAATAGAGATAAAAAGAATGAAGTACTAGTGAAATACTAATTTGTATTATTAGTTTTAAAATGGATGAAACATTTGAAGAGCTTACCAAAATCATAAAAAAAAAGAAATTCGAAAAAGAATTAATAAACACCCTAAGAAGGCACATAAAAAATCATCAAGACTTATTAGAAATCATCAAAGACGTACAGAAAATAGTTAAACCTCTCAATGGATTTTATGTTTACAATTCATTCATAACAATCACTTGGTATGCCGCAAAGTCCATGATTGTGAGTTTAAAATTATCACAAAACTTAATTTATACTTGCCATTTTCCTAATAATTTCTATTAATTGTCCATACTTTTAGGCACCAACCATTCCAAATATAAGTACCTTATCAATCGCAATTGCGTTAAGTTTAATCCTTTTTATTTGGGGACAAAATCTTACCACAAAGGTAGCTCGTAATCGTGTGTGATTAATAAACGGTACTAATTGCAATTCGTAATTTATTTTAGAGTTTATTAATACCAAAAGCTATTTATAATGCACCCTGGTATATCCTTGGTCCAAAAATAAGAAAAATGTTTCTACTGGTCTTAAAACGGAGTCAAGAATCAGTTGTAACAAAAATTGTTTGGATACGTTTAGACTTTGAATCTTATCTAGATGTAAATATAATTTAAATATTAATACGAAAATTCATTTTCCACTTATACCAACTATAAATTACCTCAAATTAATGAAGAAAAAATTGTTGCTGTTGTCACACCCTCGCCGGGAATCGAACCCGGGACCTATATAATTTATAGCTGGTAAAAGTGGAAAATGAATTTTCACATTAATATTTGATATATTAACCACTATTAAATATCAAGAAATTCTAAGTGTAATGTTGAAAGTTACAATTTTATATTTTAAATAATTATTTCGTAGGTCCTTTCGCAGATGTACTCGTTTCTTAGCGTACTGAGAAGTTTCATCCTAAAAGATAACTAATGTTGATATTACAATTAGATTAATGTAAGACTACCTATTAAAAAACGTTTCCATTGTAATTATACTACAGTAAGGTGTGATTAAATTATTATTTTAATATATAACACAGTTGTGTCCAATAGAACACGCGTTTGAAAATAAAATGAGTTATGATTAACAAAAGCTTCTTATTTATGTATTGTGGAGTGGTTATTTTTCAACAGGGTTTGTTTTTTTTACATTGTAGTTGCAGAGATATTTTACACTTTTAGAGG